TTAGGGTTTAGGGTTTTAGGGTGTTCGGATTGGGGTTTGAGGTTTTCAGTGTTCTGGATTTAGGGGTTTTAATTAGGGTTTAGGGTTTTAGGGTTCAGGGTTTGAGGTGTAGCTATCTGCGAGCATTTTTCTGGGGCTGAGGTTCAAGGCACTAGGCTTTGTGTATTGTGGGTCTGGGGTTTACAGCTCTAGGTTCTCAATTCCCCTTTGATTTACTCGGCTGGCCCCTTAAAGCCTTGTTTGATAATATAAACTGACCCAAACGGCCTAGCTGCCTACCTAGTTTACGGTGTATTCCGAAAATTTAAGGGCTCTCAATGATGCCCTTCTTCTTTATTGCCCTTTTTTAACCTGCAAACCCCAAGCTTTCCTATTCCCTCAATTGTTTATAGGATGGAAATTTGGTAGGTTCAGAGCTGTTCTTTTTGTGTGTTGTATTTGCATAGAGGTGGCTTCTCAAGGGCTTGGCCTCAGGGCTGGCGTTGTTTCGGGTTTAGGGCTTTCGGGGTTAGGGTGTAAGGTGTAGGGTGGGGCCGTCTTTGATCTTCCTCACGGGCCGAAATCCTCGAAGCTTGATGTGCTCCACTTTCAGGGTTTAGGTTTTCAAGTCTCCAATGTAGGGCTCCAAGTTTCTGGAATACATCGGTATCTCCGCCCATCGCTGTCGTCTGCCTTGGACACTGTATTGCGGAAACGAGGGTCCTCTTCGAGAACCCTCGCGAAGAGAACCACCCGTATCAGCATTATCTGCGTCTGCGCGCGTTAGGCCTGTCGTGGGGTCCGTGTCGGCGGCGTGCGGCCTGACACGACAGAAGCCGACAAAGCAATGCCACGGTCCGCCGGAGTAGACCTAGCTCGCTGCGAGCGCTGCGCGAGCCGACGCTCCTATGGCGTGCTCAGTCGGCTTGAACATATCGTCCGGCGTCTCAGATTCATCGCTTTGCAATAGGGTCCGCAATGGACGTCGCGGCCGCGCCGGCAAAGGCGGAGAAGGTCAATTGACATGTCCTGGGCACACATACGAAAAACACGTGATGAGAATTGGCTGGCCAAAAAGTTCTGCACGCTGAGCTCGCAGCAAAATGGGTGCAACGAAACAGAGGGACAAGGCAGCAGGTAGCTGGAGCCAGTTCCGAAGCACTGCGGCGGGAGAAGATCTTTGCTGAATGCTTCACTCGCCAAGGCTGAACAAGCCGTCAAGCCAAGAACAGCTGCGAAGTGACGGGTCTTCGATGTGCAGCCTGTTAAGCGCACGCGCTGTGCTGCTATGACGAAGACTCAGATAAACCCTAAACTACTTCCACATGCCCAAACCCTTTAGGCGTTACACCTCTGCACAGAAAACCCCTTCAACCTGAACGTTAAACCCTCCTAGGACCAATGCCAAGGAATATTATTCAGACCCCCTAGACCCTAAACCCCTGAACCCTAAACAAAAAACCTACAAACTACAAGCCCTTCCTGGTCGAAGTCCACGTGCTTGATTGTGAGGCCGTTCCCGAAGGAGTTGCTAACTGCCCATGCGCTTTGTGTTTGAGGGCTGGGGAAGGGACGTGGGGCAGATTGATTAGGGGACCCTTCTATACTGCAATCAGACTTTACAGTAACAACCTCTACAAGAAACCCTAACTTTCAAACATCCCCATGTAATGTGGGACCCATCAAGATATTGGGTTTCGGTCTGGTCGTTTGGTTGTTTGGGGTGAAGGGTGTCGGGTTTAGCATTGATTGTCCTTCCGGCTTTTGCGGCTTTTGTGGGGTTGTTCTAGGGTTTAGGGTTTACACTGTAGGGTTCAGGGCTTCGGGTTCAGGGCGTTCAACCTCCTCAACGCTAACGTGGAAAACCCCCGTTGATGGGGATAACTTGGCTGACTTCTGAACCCCTCCAAAAAGTTAAACTTTTAGTCTCCTTATTATAGTTATATAGATACCCAAAAGGTTAAAGTCCTAAGAGCCAACCAGAAGAACACCAAGATAATATACCATAATTATCATGGGAACCTTGAGACATAGAAGTGGGAATGATTCCGGCGTCTCTAGTGCCGTTTGGGTAGTTTGCTTCGAGCCCGACCCCCCCTCATTTCCAAATAAAACCTAAACCCCAAACCCTAAATTCCCAAAACCTTAACTCCAAACCCTAAACCCTAAACCCGAAACCCTAAATTCCTAAATTCCGAAACCCTAAAATCCTAAACCCTAAACTCCAAACCCGCAACCCCTAAACCCTGAACCCAACTGTCCTCATTCCCTCGGCGATCGCCAAACCTTCGTGCCCAACCCCGCCCGAAGTGAGAGAGGAAGAGAGAGAGAGAGGGTTTCGGGTTCAGGGTTTAAGGTATAGGGTTTAGGGTTTGTAGGATTTAGGGTTTAGGGTTTAGGGCTTAGGGCTTAGGGTTTAGGGTTTAGGGTATAGGGCTTAGGGCTTAGGGTTTAGGGTTTGGGGTTCAGGGTTTGGGGCTTAGGGTTTAGGGAAAGAGGGAGAGAGGGCGGTTTAGGGTGTTTTGAAGGCCTTAGCCGACTTGGGGGTTTCGGGCTTAAGGCTTGCAGAGGAGAGGAGGGCAGTATAGAAGCCTTCATAGTTGGAATAGGGTTTTGGCAAACGGTTTAGGGTTTAGGGTTTAGGGTTTAGGGTTTTGTTATAACCCTAAACCCTAAACCCAAAGGCCCCCTGTGTTAGAGAGAAAAGAGTCGTTTATCTTACTTCTCCAATAAGCCAGGGAAATAAAAGGTTAAACATTCAGATTACTACTAAATCATAAGAACCCAAGAAGTTTTAAATTGGGTATTGGGGAACTAAGTTATGCAGGGAGTAGGATCAGAATTTTGGCGCGGGGGTTCTGGTTCTGTCAGCCACGAACCCTAAACTGCCCGGCTCCCCAGGGTTTAGCGTTTAGGGTTTAGGACTCAGGATTTACGGTTTAGGGTTCAGCGTTTAGGATTTAGGGTTTAGGGTTTAGGATCTAGGGTTTAGCATGTTGGGCTTAGGGTGCAGGGTTTAGGGTTTAGGGTTTCCATTTCAGGTGCCCTGCTCCAAGACAGACATTCTGGCTCTCAAGACTCCCGGCTCTGCCAACTCTCTAAGGTTGAAACCATGGGCCCCTAGTATGGGCCCTTAACCCTGGGATCCTTGAAACCCAACTATATACCCTGTATGCACCCTTAAGGGGCCCTAGAATCCCCCTAGAAGGCCGATGGGTGCATATTGGGGCCCCATACTTCTACCCTTAGAAGCTCTCGGGCGCGGACCATGTTGAACAAACTCCTTTGCCACCATAGCCAAGAGGCCCTGCCAGTGGCTTAGCACCCTAACCCCTAACCCCTAAACCCTAACCCCTAGCCCCTAACCCCTAAACACAAAGCCCTAAGCCCTAAACCTGAGCCCTGAACCCCTAAACCCTAAACTCTGCACTTATGGTTGGGCTTGGTTCGAATCCTCAAACTTGGGGCTTGCAGGTTTAAGATTCGAAGGCTTCAGAAGGATTTCGGGCTTAGAGCTTAGGTTTTTAGGTTTTAGGGTTTAGGGCTTAGCTTTTAGGGTTTAGGGTTTAGGGCTTAGGGTTTAGGGCATAGTTTTTAGGGTTTAGGGCTTAGTTTTTAGGGTTTAGGAGAAATCGCAGCTGCCTCAGCTTAAGCACCTAAGCCCAAGCTTTCCAGACCCTAAACCCTAAACCCTAAACCCTAAACCCTAAACCCTAAACCCTAAGCACTTAAGCCCAAGCTCCCCAGACCCAAAACCCTGAACCCTAGCTCCTAAGCCCAAGCTCCTCAAACGCTAAACCCCCCCAACTCCTCAACCCACCCTAACCCCTAAACCCTAAACCCTGCAACCTAATGCCTAAACCCTAAACCCTGAACCCGACCTCGTCCAACCTAGGAGTTGGGATTAGGGAACTCTTTGGGGATATAGGCCCGAGAGCCATAAGTAGGATTCGGAAGGGTCGCCTAGGATTTGACCGAAGGGGTAATATAGGGGTATTAATAATTAGAATAGGGTTTTGTGGCATAGTATAGTATGTTACAGTATGATTATAATAAGGAACCCCGACAATAGTATCGGTAATCATTAAGGCCCTTATATGAATCCTGGCGGAAGGCCTCCAAGTAGGCCATTTGAAGAATCCCCTGGTAGACGACCACGAAGAAGAGGTCCATTTCGTTCAGCAGCTTCCATTTCAAGTTGTACCTGGATGAGCTTACATGGTTGAGGGTTTAGAGGCTTTAGAGCTTTAGGGTTTAGGGTTTAGGGTTTAGGGTTTAGGGATTAGTGAACCTCAGAAAGTGGGAAGGTGGATTTAGGATGCGCAGCACTAGGATCCCCCATGCTTAGACCTTATAAGGGCATTAGGATGGCAATGTTCCCACTTCCTGGCTTGTGCTATAGGATGTAGGGTTCAGAGATTCCTAACTTGGGGTTTTGAGCTGACTAGCAGAGATAGCTCTTGCTTTGTCATGGTTTGAGATCCTTTTCTGGTAGCTGGGCATAGTGCTCCGCCATCATGATACCCAAAACGTAAACCACTGAGAACTAAACCTCCTTTCTGACTGTCAGTAAGGAGGTTTAGTTCTCAGCGGTCCTATGGCAAATATCCTACCCTAAACCCCCAAACCCTAAACCCCTCAACCCTAAACCCTACCCCTAAACCCTACACCCTAAACCCTTATTCTGTGAGGGGGTTTGGCTCACCTGTGGAATACCGCGTTTCCGACTGCTGCATGCAGAAAAACACGCTCAAGCTAGCAAGGAGATGTCAGGAAAAGGTTGCCATGAGGAAAAGCCCTAATTAGGATACATCTTAACCGGAAAATCACTGCATCGCCACGTCGTATGATCCCAAAGCCCAAAAGAAGCCGACAACACCCAGAAATAAACTTCTCCTAAATCGCTGAGAACGCCCTCTCAATCAAACACTTGCGCCCGGTTATCCTGCAAGCGCGGAGATGAATTCGGGCCTTGCAGGGTTTAGGGTTTAGGGCTGCGGCACGCATCCACGTTTGCAAAGGTCTCACCCACTCTTTCCTGCGGCGATGACACATATAAGAGGTTTAGGGCTTATGTTAAAGTTTAAGGCTCCATATTTTGGTTCCCTCAAAGAAGGCCTCATTTTCAAAATGAGACCTAGCAAGGATCGAGGTTTGGAGAACTAGCAAACTCCTTTGGCGGGGGAGCTCCATATACAGCAGGCAGGTCGGGAAACGGATTGATCGGCCTTGCTGTAGACTCGGATGGTAATGAGCTTGTGCAGCTCCCCAATACTCCAGCCCAAAACAAAACATCTACACAAATGCAAAACACACACTCAGTCTCTCTCTCTCTCTCTCTCTTTTCTCGACTTGCTGGATGTAGCTCCACCTCACCCCACCACATCATATAAAGACAGAACCGAAAATCATCACAATTTGCAATGAGCGCCGCGAGCCATAAACCCCAAGCCCAAGGCCCAAGTTCCAACAACTTGAGAACACCCAAACCTTAAAAAAGCACAAAGTTTAAAACTGAACCTCAAGAACCATAAAGATCCTGAAACCTATAGCTCAAATCCAGGAATGAAAGGAATCTGAGGTCGACCTCTCCTCCAACAGGACCTCCTTGATCAGGCGGTCTAGAGGATTGCCTTTGACCTGCAAAAATTGAAAACATACTCCTAGAGGCTTCCTGAAAATTTGGATAAGCATTTTCTTGCGAAGGGTATGCAGGGATATTCTACACGGATTGTATCCCCTCTGACTAACTACTCAGCTCAATCCCCGGTTTCAGGCACCATTTTTGAACCCTAAACCCTAAACCCTGACCTTACGGGCAGGTTCCGGGTTCAGGGTTCAGGTGGGCTTATGGATGTTTCCGGTGTATCCGGGCTTGGGCCTAGCACAACTTGCGGTTCGAGATTTAGGTCGTCCCCTAAACTAGGGTCCCTTTTTAAGTCCCCAATATCGTATGGCACCTTCATAAACAAAAAGACACTAAAAGGGACCCTAATTTAGAGAAGCATTCATTTAGGGTTTAGGGCTTTAGGGTACAGCAACCACAAACCCGGATGCTTCAATGGGAAGTCACCGCTTTGGAAGGGAGGTGGTGCTTCGGGCATTTTTGGGATTCAACCACATATGGGCGACACCTTGTAGACGCTAGGAGCCCTGATGTAGAGGGCCTTAATAATTAGAATAGGGTTTTGGGGTATAGTATACTATGACTATAATTAGTAAGGAACCCCCCAAAAAGTGTAGGGCATTATTTTTTAGGCCCATATATTATGTCAACCCAAAACCCCTGTGAGCCCTACAAACCCCGGTTGGGCCTTCACCAGCTGCGTAGACCAAAGGAGCAGCCCTCCTCAGTTGACATCCCATTGCTTGCAAAGTAGGTTTTCCGAAGGTAGGGTTTTAGGGTTTAGGGTTTAGGGTTTAGGGTTTAGGATTCAAGGTTCAGGGTTCAAGGTTTTTTTGCTACTAAAGTCGGGCTTCTACAAGGTTTGAGGTTTAGGGAAATTCAAAAGCTCCTCTGAGTAGAAGGACATGAACACCCTAAACCCCAAATCCTGACCCCTGTGCCTCTAAACCCTGAACGATAAAACTTATAAAGGGTTAGGGTTTAGGGTTTTGGTGTCTTGGGATCTCGGGTTTTAAGATAACACTTACAAAGCCCCATTATCCCAAAGCATGAAGCACATCGGGCTTGGCCAGGAGCCCTGCTAAAAAAGGCTGAGGGTTCAAGCTATTGAAACCATTCCCATGTAGGGTTTGGGAGTTAGGGCTTATAGGGTTTAGGGTTTTGGGATTTGGGTTTGTAGGGTTCAGGGTTTAGGGTTTAGGGCTTTACGACAAGCCCCCATCACAAAAACCCAAATCCAAATAAGCAGAGAACTAGAACTAGACAAACGTAGCCAAGGGCCGGCCTTAGAGAAGATGCCCCATGAAGTGCACTAGGGTTATGGTTAGGCGCTATACTATACTACACCATGCTACAACATACTATACTATACCATACTATACTATACTATACTATACTGTACTATACTGTACTAAACTAGACTAGACCAGACTACTCCAGCAAACTAGACTATATACCAGAACCAGTTGTTGCAGGACCTCAATTCTTAAGATAGGATTTGAAGGCCTAGTGTTAGGATACAGGGCTTGGTTAGGGAGGAGGCTGCACGGTGCTGTTAAGCAACCCCAAACCCAGGCCGATGCATGCGTTAGACCGGTACCCTGAACCCTAAACTTTGGCCTAAACCTTATTAAAAGCCCTTAACCCTGCCATAAACCTTGAACATCCCGCAACACTCAACCCCTGAACCTAACGCCTTCTCCAGCGACATCTCTTGCATTCGAAGAAGCGCTTGGTGAAGATGTAGAAAGCATCGATCATGCCTGTTGGACAGGGACCCTAAAACCCCAGGCGTTCAAACCTAAGTTTGGATTTAAGTATCACGGACGAGGGGTTAAGGTTTAGGGTTTAAGGTTTAGGGAGGGTTCGAGGGGCAGGTGATCGCGACACTTTTTCAATTCCGGCAACAAAGCACCAGCCACGGCAGTCGCGCTACAGCTGCGACTACGACACACGCTCTAAACCCTAGGTCGAGCGAGGTGGTCAACTCTGGGCCATCCATGCTACAGCAGGCTAGTGCCTGCTAGCACACCGCCCATCGCCAATGCCTGGCAAGCAGCGAGTCTAAGGTAGAACCCATGGGCCNNACCCCAATATACCTACTATATACCCTCTTCGGGCTGCGCTCTGACGGATGCTGTGCCCTAAAGACGTGAAAGACTATATACCCTATATATATATATACCCTTAAGGGACCCTAGAATCTCCTAAGGGCCCGTGTTAGGGGCCCATGGGTTCAACCCTAAAGCGAAGAAGCCCCCTAAACACATGGCCCCAACACCTGGAACTGGCCGACATTGGCCCTAAACCCGAACCCAAAACACCTTATGTTTAGGGTTTAGGGTTTCGGGTTTAGGGTATAGTTTAGGGTTTCGGGTTTAGGGCATAGTTTAGGGTATAGTTTAGGGTTTAGGGTTTAGGGTATAGTTTAGGGTATAGTTTAGGGTTTAGGGTTGTAACCTGACAACAAAGCGCGGCGTGGCCTGGCAAGCAGCATAAGCTTTCTGACCCAGCTCTGCTATCAGAGACCGCGAGAAGACGGGTCCACCAAAGCGTCCCACGCCGTTCGAAATGAGGCCATTGATGAGCATGACATTGTTGGCGTCCAGAAAGGACCCGTCCGGGAAGACGTTGCTGTTCAGGATGCCCATGTTTAGCGCGCCAGCGAGGTATGTGGTGGGAAAGATGACCGAGTCAGCGGCGAGAATGCCCTGAGGATGTGTAGCAGCGCCTCCATCGGCATATTATATCATATCGGCTTAGAGTTCAGCCTTTTGGGCTTAGAGTTTGAGGGTTAGATCTGGGGCTTAGGGTGTGGGGGGCTGTTGGACCCCCAAGTTCCCTGCAACCCGTTCTTAGAGGCAGGCACAAGAAAGTCGAGGCCCGCGCCTAGCAGCACGGCAGCTAGCATGCCCAGTGTCGTGTACAGCCTCATCAGCGTAATGTCCCTGACAGCTTCATGATACTGCCTGTGCAGTGTATAAACGGGCACGACCAGGCAGAAAGTCAGCCCGACGCAGAAGCCGATACTGTCCTAGGCGGGCCCCTTAAGCGTCTCTGAAACATATTCTAAACTAGGGTCCTCTTTGTCTAACAAGGGAGAAAACCTAACCCTTATATGGGGGTTTCCAAAAATAGGGGACCCTAATATAGCACCCTAAATAGTAGGATCCTAATTATAAGGACCCCCTGCTCCTATTTTCGGAAACTCCCATATACCAAGTATCGTGGTTCCATGCGAACTTCTCCTGCAACAGCAGACATGTGGCCGACTCAACTCCAGACACGATGAAGGCACGGAGCGCGTCCATGAGAATGCCTGGGGAAACGTGCAAGATAAGGGTTTAAGGGTTTAGGGTTCAGGGTTTAGGGTCTAGGGTCTAGGGTTTAGGGTTTGGGGGGGGCTGAATAATTGGAGGAGGGTTTTCGGGGATATTATAGCGTACGAAGGATTATAAGTGGCCACTGTTCATTGGTAGCAACTCCGTTGCAGTATACTTGCATGAAGGACTAGAAGGAACGACCACTAGTAGCTATTCCAGTCCCTACTGGTATTTAGTACACTTTATATGGGCAGTTTTCTAAATCGGGGTCCCTTTTAGGGTCCTTTTTATAAGGGTGCCGTATTATATTGGGGACCCAAAAAGGGACCCTTATTTTGAGAACTACCCATTTAGTACACTTTTTTCTGACGTGAACGAGGCTTTTCGGAGGAAAGGCCAGGAAGCAGACGGCTGAGCCATAAACCCTAAATCGTTAAACTCTAAACAGTAATCCCATCCTAAACCCTTCCTTAGGGTTTAGGGTTTAG